CCCGTCAAGGTCATCCAAAAACTGCAGTCATCCAAGAAAACGTTGATACTGTGCATAAGCCGATTGAGGAAGATCGACATGTGACATACTGCGAAATTCAGGCAACTTTAGACATTGGCATGAGTCAAATACAAATAATCTTGCATGAACAGTTTGTAAAAAAGTTGTTTTCCCGATGGATACCGTATCCGCTTTGTGAAGAGCAAAAAACGGCTCGCGTTACTTGGTGCGTCAGTACTCTCGAAAGATTCCACGCAGGATCCTCAAATACTGTATACAACATCGTATCAGATGACGAATCCTGGATATACGCGTAAGAACCCGAAACAAAAAACTAGTCACGAGTTTGGGTGTTCGAAAATGAGTTACAGCCAACAAAAAATGTTCGTTCACGGAGTGTTGCAAAAGAAATGGTGGCCACGTTTGTCTCCAAAACCGGCCATGTTACGACTATTCCTCTTGAGGGACAAAGAACAGTTAATGCAGAATGGTACGCTAGTATTTGTTTGCCACAGGTCGTTTCTGAACTCCGTAAAGAGAACTGTAACCGCCGCATCATCCTCCATCACGACAATGCGAGTTCTCACACCGCACACAGAACAAAAGAGTTTTTAGAGCAAGAAAACATAGAATTATTAGACCATCCGCCGTACAGCCCCGACCTAAGTCCTAATGATTTCTATACTTTCCCTAAAATAAATAATAAATTGCGTGGACAGAAATTTTCATCACCTGAAGAAGCTGTGAACCTGACAAAACGGCCATTTTGGAGACCCCAACTTTCGAATGGAATGGTTGCTTCAATGATTGGTTCCATCGTATGGAAAAATGTGTCAAATTTCGTGGAGAATAATACTTCGAGAAGCAATAAATACATTTTTAAATAGTAATGTTTTGTCACTTCCTTGATTCCCGAAATTTTCAGTGCCGCCCTCGTATCACATGGTGACACGCGATTTATTTATGAACGCATTTCCTTATATGTATATATTGTATTATTTATGTAATCTTTAAAATCTCATAATCATAATCATAAAAAAAAAGATTCTCGGTCTTGTCACAAGGTTTTTTCAAACTTGTTTAGTCGTTAAGAAAATGGAATTGACTCGAGAAAATTCAAGACCGATGATTTATAATGAATTGAAATCAATATAAAATCAAACCAAAATAAAATCTCATAATATAAAAAATGACATAGAGGTATATATCAATAGGATTTAGCCTGCGTGATAATGAAATGGAATATTAAATTAAATCGTGTCGTGTTTACGCCATTTTGCATATTTTGTGCGTACCACCTTGAGAGTTAACCAATTTTTGTTCGATAAAATCATTTTACGTATAAAATGAAGTAGATGGCGCTATTACAAAGTATTATTTTACTCGTTTACTCTAAAAACAAACATTTTTAATTTATTACACTTAAATACATGTCTAAAAATAAGGACTGTAACATTTATTTGCTATAAAATTAAACTTTTATATTTTATGCAATTGTGGTTGAAAATTATCATAATATTATTTATGACTTTGAAGGTGGGGTGTATTTTGCGTTCGTTGTTAAACTGGTTATGGTTATTATATTGGTTATACCCCTATAGTTTTTCAGAGTCGGTGAAATAAACTTTCCTTCATACTTTTCTCAGGCTTATGATTAGGACTGACTGCATCACTTAATAATAGTAACAAAAAGTTAATTAGTAACGTGAAGTATTATTAAGTATTAAGTTTATATATAACTTTGCGTTACACATTCCCTGTTTACGTAGATAAGTAATAACATTTGCCTTTTACGACAGTTGTGTCTGTAAGATATAAAATAACTTTTAATAAAAGTATGTAATGCAGGCGTATATAAAAGTTTTTTGATATTTACATAATTTTTGACGTTATTTACAATTAAATATTTACAATATGGTTTTACTTATTCATGTAAATCTATTTTTGTCTAAATTTACATTTAAAAAGGTGAGTTGTCTTACTTTTTGGGATGTAAGTCGGGTCCTACGGTCATTTAATAAGATGCCCGTTTTGCTAAATATACGTTCACATGGAACAGATGAAGCCATTATATTTTCATATTTTTGAAAAAGTTTGGCAAGATGTGGATATTTAAATTTGTGGCCACGCCACCACTGAAGAAGACAGCTCCATTTGTCGCCATGGAAGATTGGCTGTAGGTCGTCGTTTAAGTATGTGTCGATTTCCCTAATGGCCTTTGATAAAGGAGTCCCGACTGTGTGCTGCTTTTGTCCTATTATTTCATTCAGGATAGCACGAAAGCCATCAATTTTTGTATTAATGGCTGTTATAGAGGATAATTGTTCTTCATGTGAACACTCTTGAGCTATCATGGCAACTAATATATCCTGTATATGATTTTTTGTGTTTTTGGCCTCATTCTGATCACTAAAAACAGATAATTTGTATCTAGGATCGAGGAACATGCATGTCCTGAACGTTTTACTTCGTTCCACAAGGCCGAATCTTGTCACCAGGCCTGTTCTGAGACGATAGAGGACATTTTTAGATGTTTACTAAAATTGGCTCTGTTAAGAGTTTATCACTCGCAGCTAAAAGGCAGCGTGTCATTACAATGACCAGACTACCGTTCCGTTATGTAATTTTCACCACTAATTGTTTCTGTGGCTTGATGTAATGGTTGTAGAATTTTTATTAAGTCTGAAAGAAGATTACATTCATCATTTGTGAGTGTAGGTAGATCGTTTTTAAGAATGGCCATTGTGGATCTAATGTACTGCTCCATTTCAACGAAGCGCTGAACCATAAGAAACGTTGAGTTCCAACGCGTGGGGACTTCTTGTATAAGGTGCTTCGGGATGCAACTAGCTGTAGGTATCGTCCGTTTCTGCCTTTAAAAATTTTTCCAAAGCCGTGAAGCTTCTTTTAAAATGGCGAACGATTTTTTAACCTTTTCTAAAATTGGTTGAACAGTTGTGGGGGGAATCCTGGACTATTAAATTCAAAGTGTGGCCATAGCATCCAAATTGCTTCCAGCCGATGTTTTGAATGGCCTTCCGTACATAAGCAGCGTTGTCTGCTACGGCAAATATTATTTTATCAGTTAGGCCCCATTCAGCCACAATATTTTTTAACACTTCCTGTATATTTTCACTGGTATGGGAGTCATGTAAATTGCAAAAATTAAGTAAAATAGTTTTGAGCTCAAAATCATCTGTCATATAATGAGCGGTGACGGCTATATAGGACTCGTTCGATCTTGAGGTCAATAAATCTGTCGCAGGACATATAGAATAGTTGCACTCTGAGCCTAATACCATTTTTATTTCCGATTTGGTTTTATTGCACAATGCAGACAACATGACGGTGGAAATTGTTTTTCTACTTGGCAGTTGGTAGCCGGGAATCCGCCGAGCAAATTTTTTAAACGCGCTTTCCTCCACCAATAAAAATGCCTGGCAGCTATCAATAAATAGATCTAATAGATCTCGATCAATTTTTTTTTAGTCTCATTGGATATTTTTTTTTGCCGTGCCATGTCTTTCTATTGTTTCTTGCATCGTATTCTTCGGGATATGACTTGCGGCAGTTGACGTACGAGCGGAAGATGACGCACCAGCAGCAGATGACGTAGCAGCGGCAGATGACGTACCTACCATCGAGAAAATCGTTTAAATTCTTATTTGTCAACATCGAAGACGAACATAATTGTCTTTGTTGCTGACCTGTTTTCGCTTCTTGTTGGGCTGTGATTACTTTCGTAAAAGCATCTAAGTGTTCTTTTTTAAATGCGCCTTAAGATTGCCTGTTGAGCCCTCGTAACTATAAATATCGCAACAACTCTGACATTTGGCCGTTTTATTGACTATGTCATACTTCTCAAAATAGTCCCATATTATGCTTGTAAGCGGACGAGACATTGTTACTTAATAGGTTTAATTAGTTCTACACAATGTCAAACACTAAACTTTAATTAATTTGTTAAAAAAATGTATAGTATCTACCTAATATCTACGCATCTATATAATATTTTATGTTACACTATTTTTAATACACAAAAACAGTTCAAACTTAAAAAACTATCATAAAACCAAAAAATTATCAAATTAAAATTAAAATTTCGAAACCAAATTACAAACGAAAGCAAGCTGAGAAATTACATAAAATATGTCATATGCATTCAAATTACGTGACGCAGTTCACAAGGAATGTGAACGAAACTGAAAATAAAATTTAAAAATAGAACACAAGTCCTTTTTTGTTAAAACCCAAAGCACAAAGGGTCGATTTCACAAATAATTTGACACTTTTTTTCGTTTTGTGCAAATACCCGTTTTATTGTTATCTGACGGTCCATAACGTTTACTTTTACGAAGTTAGTACATCAGAATGTAAAATCACGGTGCGTATCTACTCAATAGTGACAAAAAATCAAGATCAGGGTAAGACGAATGATACTCTCATAACACGAATGAAGTCTGCATGACACTAATGATATTGGCTAACTAAATCACATACTTTACGATTATAATATTGGGTACGTAGTACTATTACGTATTCTGTGATATTAGTCTTTTTTAAAAATGCACAAGAAAATATGTATGTTAGCATTTTTAGGTGAGAACAAAAACAAAAACACTTGTATTAAACTTTTAATCAAAAGACATTTTAAAACAATACAAAACAAATATTAAGAATACACGATTACGTAACATAATTATATCTGTGATCTACAAAATATAAGTAACAAACTTTTTGGTTATAACAATGTATAATTATGTAGGCATATATTTCTCAAAAAAATATTTCTACATCACTTATTTATTTACTCAGTCATTTTGGATAGGTAATATTATTTTAATACTTAGTTAAATCTTATAGCTGGTTTCTTATTCAATCTTGTTGATTTCTTATTTTTATAATTTAAATTCTTTGATTTATTTTCGTATTAACTAAATTATGTAATCAGTTTTGATCATGTTTTAAAGTTACCGTCACTTTCTATTCCTCCATTTTTCTTATTCCGTATTCTCAAAAGACCGTTCATTAATAAAGCGGAGGAAAGCCTCTTCATGCCTACTAGACACCTTCTGTTGGGTGTTTATGAATGTTTGATTTGTACAATCAAATTTTACATCTGCAAGTCTTTTAACAGATTTTATAATTTTGCGTGTTCCGGAAGTAGACGGATTATTCTTCCGATTATAATACTGGATGGATACATCGCTCAATACCGTAATTCGTTTGCTTGGTGGAATAACTTTTATATTTTGGACAGCCGATTCGAAAATACTCTTATAAATTTTATGTAATTGCATATGTTTATCCTCATGTTCGCAGATTTTATCCAAACACAGAAAACAGCTTAGTTTTCGGAACTCAAGAAATTCTGATACAGAATTCCAGATTACTTGGTGAACTAACATAGTACCCTTGAATGGTGAAATATCCTTAGGAAGAAGAAGTTCTTTTTCTATAATTTCATGCTCCTCTACTACTTTTATCTCAACATTTTTAATATTTTCGCGAACAACTTCAAGGAATGTTGGAAAATCCCCGACGTCACGCCCACATTTAACTTGATGATCAGCTGTCCGCTTAACCACAGCGTCAATGCCGTCGGGGATGCCTTTGCCATGACCACTTTCTTGGTAATTCCAAGTAACTAGCTTTAACGATGGGAAGGTATCGCGGAGCTGAGTCAATACGTAAAATATTTGTTTATTTCGGTATTGGATTGTTGGACTATCTGTTAACAATATAAGGACATTTTTCGAACACAAATTGTAACGCCTTCTGTAAGTGTGCCCAGACTGCAGGGGAATCATGCCGTGTACATTCGCTGACCGTGCACAGACAATGGATAAGAGTCTCCCTTCCTTCTTTGAGATAAGCTACAACGGTATGAAGAGGTACTTGTCCCCGGCTACCCCCAAAGTGTAGACTTTGCACCTCTTCAGCAAATTTGTAACTATAATTTTCAGAAAAGTCCATGTGGAGTAATGTTTCGCCATGATTAAGGGATTCTTTCAATAGAGTAACAGCTTGATGTTGATTGAGGATGTTCACAGTATGAATAAAGAATTTCGGAAGGGAATGCTCAAGTTTAAATATCAGGTCTTTGGGCTTTATTTTCCTTGTAAATTTTTTCACTATATTCATTTTCCTTTTAATTTCTTTTTTATCTCTGCACCATTCATGGTACTCGATTTCGTCCGTATTATTAAATTCATTGTACGATATAACTCTGCTTTTACAAGTTTCACAATCTCTGCCAATGCACTTTTTATTGTATTTGTCGCAACAAAGAACGTGCAGCATATCCAGGTAATTCCATATGTCAACTATTTTATTCTTCTTTAAAGCTAAAATCATTAGATCTATATTTGTATGTGCCATACATGCACATGTTTCCCTGTCATCTCGTGGCAAATGGACCCAAAATGGGCGTAGTCTTGTAAATGTTACATAACTAATCAGTATGTTAGGATTCTATTCAAGAAATTTTTTATGTAAATTTTTAACAGAATCCAGCAGATACCGTTTTTGTTTTATTATTCCGATATTTTTTTTACATATTGTTTCTTTCCTGCGCCAATGCGGCTGTTAATGTCATCTTTATAAAAACTTTTGATTAATTCTTGGATGCTACGAGGGCGGCACTGAAAATTTCGGGAATCAAGGAAGTGACACAACATTACTATTTAAAAATTTATTTATTGCTTTTCGAAGTATTCTCCACGAAATTTGACACATTTTTCCATAGGATGGAACCAATCATTGAAGCAACCATTCCATTCGGAAGTTGAGGTCTCCAAAATGGCCGTTTTGTAGACGTCCACAGCTTCTTCAGATGATGAAAATCTCTGTCCATGAATAGGAACTTGAGTAGTTAATGCAATGTTTTCTTCCCAAACAGTATATGCATGATTTTCTTTTATTTTATTTAATTTCTTTGTCAAAATTTTGCAGCGCTTTTGGTATTTCTTAATTAATAAGGTCATTTCTCTTTTTTCTAGCGCATGTTTTAACTGTAAGGCTTTAATTTTACTTTGGAATGTTCTTTTCTTACTTTCTTTATTTATCTCTTTTTTACATTTTCCTCATACAAAGGATCGGAGAACTCTTTATCATTTATTTTTGTGTGAGCTTCGAGAACTTGAGAAATGGTTACTTCTTGTATCGTCCGTTCTCGTGCTTTCTTCTCCAGGTATCGCTTCGAATTTTCTCTCCAACGCTTTCCTTGTGCTCTTTGTTCCCTTGGAGATATTTGGTTGATATTTTTTACCTTCTTCTCGCTTTTCCTTTTTAAGTAAGCCTCCTTTTTTTAGCCCTTTTACCGGCATATTTTTCGGGATCGCTTTTTATTCGTTTATATTTTTCCCTTCTTGCAATCCTCCTTTCCAACTCATCTTCATTTTTCTTACATTTTTCTTTCACCATTTTAAACCTTAAACAATTTACCATATACTATAAGGAAAATCCATCTCATAATTTTAACAAATAAATTAATGGTACTTATCATGAAAAAAAAATGAGAGAAACCTCTTAAAGTTTGCAAGTAAAAGTAAGGTTTAAAAGCAAATTTGATGACACATAAGCTAAAAACAAGAAAAGAATCATAACCCTTCTTTTCGTAGTCAAGTAATACACCGTTTCATTCGTGTAGCATTGCATTTCATTAGTGGTTACTCAAAAAAATGACACTAATGAAGTGACACGAATGAAATTTTCAACAAACAATCTAATTTATTGCGTCGTAAAATATTCTAGACGCCATCAAGAGCCCACAAAATATCCGCGTTATTCATTGCTAATATACGTGCATGATAAAGAATCCATTGTTCAAATACTTATTATCTCACAACTATAAACACAGATTCAGTTTTCGTACTAAGCACAGAAATTCAATAAAAAAGCGATTTCTTACCAGAATTAACGATGCACGCGTCTGCTATCACCGACCGTTCTCGTGCTACTAGGGTATTTCTTTACGTGCGTAAAAGTGGGGATAGCAGTAATGCACAGGTGTTCTTAATAACGGAACGTTTATTAAGTCGACACTAATGATAGAAAAAAATGGTCACAAAATAAAACAGAGAGAAATCCTATTATATTGTGTATTAATTTAAAACTATTAGCGTAACTTGAGTATGTGGTTATGTGTAACCAGAATAAAAAAAATATACGTTTTTACACAGTAGTATTTTTCATAATTAAAGTTTTGTTGAAAAATAGGGGAAATGACCGGTGACACAAATGAAAAAATAGATAGTTTCTTTTGATTATTTCGAATGTTACACATGTTAGTTTAATATTCCTAACTGTACAATATTAAGATGTTATGTAAGTATCGCATTATAAAGAAATAACGTATATTCCAACAATAATTCTTCAAAGGATAATTGAAATTTTATTCAATTTACTTTAAACTCATTAAACTCATTAAACTTTTTGTAATGCTTCAAAGTGGAGTAAGGAGTCGGCTGGTTTCTGTTGTTCTGGAGGTAAAATAAATTTGCCTTCGTTCAAAGATCCACCGGAACATTTGAAGTCACTACTTTTAGGGGAACATGTGCAATCTAAACAGTTCTTAGACAATATTCGCACTCATAATAGTGCGTTTCAAATGACATCCTTTGGTGCTCAACATGTCTCAGAAGGTCCTTTCATGACTACTTTTAAGATACAAGGTCAGGTTTACCATTTGATGAGATCCCTTTTGCCTGAAGACCAACCTGTTTCTTCAAATATATTTTGTATCCGACTACAACGAACAGTCGAATATAAGTCTGTATGCATTATCATCTTAAATATTTTACCCTTTCATATGATAAACTTCGTGTTAAATATAATTTAGTCACAATGAGATCGAGACGTTTATTATTGCAGGCTATGTTTTTGTTTAATATTTTTCATAATAAATTTGATTGCCCAGCGCTTTTAAACCAGATAGGATTAATAGTACCTCGCCATAATAACTTACGCAGAGTACGCCGACGATGTGTGTTCGCCGTTAGAGCTTGCCGTACTAATGTCGGCAAACGCATACCACTGCGACGGTTGATGTCAGTATATAATGATAATTTTTAATATAGATATGTTTCAACATCTTTATCCAAGGCCAAAAAACAACTACTGTTACACTTAAAATAACATATATGTTATGATTTTTTTCTTTATTAATATGTTACTTTTACTATGTATAAATATATTGTATAAGTTTAATTTTGTTTGTACTAAGCAAAACTAAGTAAGACGTGGATAACGTAGTTGATTGTACAATTAACCATTCAAATTCTAATTTAAACTTCTGTTCTTTGTAATATATATTGTACTATTGTTTGTTGTCCCAAATAAATTAAAAAAAAATAAGAAATCAATATTTCCCGAATTTAAATACTGAACTTATTTCACAACTTCAGAACATGTTGCATCTGGTTAATTCGTATGTATGCAGTTTTAAATCGGCATTAGAAGCTCTTCCTGAAGATGGTGATAACAATTATAAAATTGTTATAAATGCCGATAGGCGTCCAACTCAGGAACACCCTGGGCGTTATAACGTTCCATCCACGAATGAAGTTGCTGTAGCATTGGTCGACCAGGAATGTGGTAGGCGTGATATCGTTATCCGTTCCAGAGACAATCGTTTGCAACGTATTTATGAAACCCACAGGGCTTACGACAGTTTGCAATATACTTTGATATACTCTCGAGGGGAAGATGGTTATAATTTCGCTTTATACCAAACTGATCCGCGTACAGACGCACCTAATTATAATAAAAAAGATGTCACGCCTTCAATTTTATTGTTACACTTGCAAATGAGACAGAATAGTTCGTGGCTTATTCAATCAGTTTATTGTTGACATGTACGCAAAAATTGAAACCGAAAGATTAGTTTATATACGATCTAATCAAAGGCAGCTGCGCGCTGAAGAATACGTGCACCTTCGCGACGCCATGCAGCAAGATAATGATACGGTGAATATGGGCCGTTTAGTTATTTTACCCTCTTCTTTTACTGGTATTCCACGCTACATGCACGAACGTACTCAAGATGCTTTTTGTTACGTAAGAAAATATGGACGTCCCGACTTATTTATTACTGTAACTACCAATCCCAAGTGGGATGAAATCACTCGGGAGCTTATTGAGGGTTAAGCACCGCATGACCGCCATGATATTATCGCAAGAGTTTTTAATTTAAAATTAAAATCAATGATAGATCTACTTACCAAAGATAACATTTTTGGAGACATATTGTGTTATATGTATAGTGTTGAGTGGCAAAAACGCGGCTTACCTCACGCACATATCCTGCTTTGGTTAAAAGATAAGGTTCGACCTAATGATGTAGACAATTCAATCAGTGCTGAAATTCCAGATCCGATTGCAGATCCCGTGTTATACGAAATTGTTAAAACTCATACGATACATGGTCCATGTGGTGCATTTAACGGGAATGCTCCTTGCATGCAAGACGGTCGTTGCACTAAAAGATATCCAAAAGCATTAGTGGATGAAACTGTAACAGGACATGATGGATACCCATTATATCGTCGCCGTTCAAGAGACAATGGTGGTTTTACTGTTGAAAAGCGAGTGTCTGGACAACAGGTTACTTTTGATAATAGGTGGGTCGTTCCGTATTCGCCTGTGTTGTCTAGAGCATTTCAAGCTCACATAAATGTTGAAATGTTAAATAGTGTAGAGTCAATAAAAATATTTGTAAGTATATTAACAAGGGCAGTGACCAAGCTACATTTGCATTGAGAAATGAACATGATGAAGTTACTAGATTTCAGTCACGCAGATATATCAGCTCTTCAGAAGCTATATGGCGGGTCTTAAGTTTCAACATTCACGAAAGATATCCCTGTGACTCATCTGGATGTTCATCTTGAAGGCGGTCAAAGTATATATTTCAACGCCGTAAATGTTACAGAACGATTAGAGAGCCCTAGACAAACAACTTTATTGGCATTCTTTCGACTTTGCCAAACTGATAATTTTGTATATGGTTTTTAGATGCACCTGGAGAAACTGGGAAAACCTTTTTGACTAAATTAATATTAGCTTATTTTCGAAATCAGCGTAAAATTGCTCTTGCCGTGGCTTCATCAGGTATAGCTGCAACATTGATACCAGGAGGTAAAACTGCTCACACTATGTTTAAAATATCAATTGATTTAGATCGCACGAAAAGTCCAACCTGTAGTATTTCAAGAAATAGCGACAAAGCTAAGGTATTACGTGAGTGTAATTTAATCATATGGGATGAATGTACGTTGGACCACCGAAAAGGAGTAGAAGTGGTAGACAGAACTTTAAGGGATATAAGACAAAATGATCGACCAATGGTCGGTATCACGGTTTTATTTTGTGGTGATTCCCGACAAACCTTACCGGTAATACCATGGGGAACCCGAGCTAATAAGGTTAGGGCTTGCCTAAAAAGCTCTTATTTGTAGCGTGATATACAATCGGTACATTTGACAATAAACATGCGAGTGAGAACTGGAGATAACCCGGATGATCGTCAATTTTCTGGTAAATTATTAAAGATTGGTGAAGGTACCTATCCACAACTACACCAAGGAAAACTTATTCTGACGCCTGAGTTATGTTGTATAGTGCAATCCCAACCACATCTTATATCGTCGGTTTACGGTGAGGTAACAAATATATTAAATAGGGACAATTCTTGGCTATGCGAAAGATCCATTTTAACTCCTCGCAATGAGCAGGCATCTGAGATTAATAACAAAATACTGTCAAATATACAGGGGGAAAGCAAAGTTTATAGTTCAATAAATAGAATGTCGATGAACAAGAAGCCACTAATTAAACGACAGAATTTTCAAATTCTTTAAATATGCCCGGACTTCCTTCTCACGAAATTTGTTTAAAATTGGCATTCCGATTATTCTGCTCCGAAATTTAAGACCACCACAATTTTGCAATGGAACTCGGCTAAAAGTAACCCAGTTGCAACAAAGTATAATCGAGGCTCAAATTTTAACAGGTTTCGATGCAGGAGAAACCGTCTTTATTCCCAGAATTCCCACAATACCAAATAATTTTCCATTCCAATTTATAAGAACGCAATTCCCAGTATCAGTGTGTTATGCAATTACAATTAATAAGGCTCAAGGGCAGTCTTTTCGTTTGCTGGAGTAGATCTCGGTGTCAGTTGTTTCTCGCATGATAAGTTGTACTTACTCTTTCCCGGGTTAGCAGTTCTAGAAATCTTTATGTTCATGTGCCGGACGGGTCAACTTTCAACATAGTTTACCCGGAAGCTTTGCTCTGAAGTATTTATTGCTCTATAAGTACTTAA